ACATATATATATATACATATATATATATATTTATTTATTTTATATTTATATATATAGAATGCATTACGAACTCGCCGCGCGGTTTGTAGCCGCGTGTGACAGAGACACCGAAGCACATGCAAAATAACTCAAATATAACACAACAGCGTGCGAGTTTTCGCCGGCTCTTCCTCTTTCCTCTTCTCTCTATACCATAAATAGAATAAATTATTCTTCTTCATGTACAAATGGTACTCCCTCCAGGGTGTTTGTGCTTACATAGGCCTGTACACTCGTCGCGCATTTAGCGTTCTCTATTTCAAAATTAGTTATACTAATAACGCTCAATCGTGTCGAATTTTATATGCTTTTTAATCGCGAAATGAAAAGAATTCGAGCGAAGAAATTTTAATAAGTTATGATATAATCGGCGCTGAAATTAATCGCGCAACAGGCCTTGTACGCTGTCTCAATCTTCAAAGAAGAAAAAATTGCGAGACCAAAATAAAGCAAAACATAACGCTAAATGCATGACGAGCTATTATTCTTAAATGTAGAATATATCTTGTCCGCTTCTAGCTTGTGCAAATCTTTCACGGCGATTGTTTGACAGAACGGCGATGATCGAACTTTGCCTCTTTCATTATATCAAAATATATCAAAATTGCGAAACTAGGACAACCGATTTTTTCTACTCTTTCAAATAGCATCAGACATCCTAGTTTCGATGTGCGAATATTTTTTCACGCGACAATAAATATCTGCGGGAAGATCTGCGTTAAGATCATTCTAAACGTTTCAGACATATATATGAGTCTATTTTCATAAAACGTAGCGAACGTGTGAATTATGGAAACGCTCTTGTATAAGATATTCGGAGGATATATCGATAAAATATATCAATTACGAAAGGGTAATTTAAGAAACATTCTGAAAATATCTCGGGCATTATAATGAAAATATATGTATATATTTTCCAGTAGATTATTAGATAGACTAGAGATAGAGCTCGTATCTTAAAAAATATTAAAAATATCTTCAATATTAGACTTAGATTTTTTTCTCAACAAGAGACGTCTCGACAATACACGTAAGCACCCGCAGATTTTCTTTCGCCGCGTAGAATTACATCGATCTTCTCTACATATAAATGCATGCTACAAGTAGTAAAAATAAAACACGCGTGTCTCGCACACCGCGCACCCTCGCTAATAAATTAATATTCATTCACCGCTTTGACAAACACCGCGCCGAACACGCGGTTTTACAGCGCTGCAAAACGGGAACGCCTGAACGGTTTAAGCCTCGATGATTATGCAATATGTAAAATAGATCATTTGTTTGCTTATACTGCGGACAGAACGCTCTTGCAACGTTACATTGCGACATGCGAATGTATGGTCATCGTCGGGGAACGCTCGCCGTCCTCTTACGTGGGGTGTATCCCGTTATCATATGGCACTGGATATCAGCATGGTAACTACCCGAAGTAAGCCCTCGCGTAAATGCAGCTCGTGCTTGGTAGAAAAAAACCGAGGATCCTCTAGCCATCTTGCGTGCTTAAGAACGTGATTTCGCGATGAATGTATGCCTCGACAATAATAAGAGGAAGCGTGTCTCTTCTCTCTTTCAGTCAGCTTTCTTTTCTCACACCAACGCTATCGTGTCAGTACGAACGGTACGTCTTATCGCCCAATTTTCTGAAGCATACAACTCTGGTAGTCCGCGTTTTTTATTTATGAAACTATTATCTAACTTTCTTCTTTTATAAACAAAGGCCACTCAAATACAAGAACCTACACTGCAAACACTAAGTGTATACATAAAGAATAAATTCTTCCAACGTCTCGACGAGTTAAACGACAAACTTCGCAGACAAAGTTTTCACTTAATCCAGAGAACAATTACCTGGAGTGACATTTACATCTTTCTAGTAAAAAAATAAAGCTCATATATCAATTTGATTATACTTTATGTACTTTAGTATATTTTTTACTTAGCTTTTCAGAAAATAATGAAATGTTGCTGTTATTTATGCAAATCCTTAAATATTAATAAATTAGAAAACAATTTATTATATATTGTAGGTTGTAAATAATAAGTGATTTTTAATTGCGATGTAAAAGATACTCCAGGTTTACATAAAAAGAAAAAAAACCAAATAACTATTTCCGGATTAATTATTCGAGTAATATCAAACGGTCATTTAAGTCGCAAGCCACGAGGAAATCAACACTCGGTTATTAACAAATGTTTATTGAATTCTGAGCGCATCACTGTAGAGATTCATTATCTGGACGTATTTCCGTCAACGCGAAGTCATCAATACGAAGTTTTCAAACGGACATTTCCCGAAACTCTTCATTTAACTCTTAAAACTAGTTACTAACATTTAGGCCTCGCTAAGATAATTCGGCCTGTTGTTATGAGATCGACGTTAGGGGAACGATGATGTCTCGTTTGCATTTTTATCTCTTTGCGAGAGACAATCATGTGAATCGAATCGCGATTTGCGATAAGGCGAAATTAAAAAAATACATGTAAGTGTATCAATACGCGAAGTTTTCATCTAAAATCTTGATTCGACTTTACTAATTTAACTTGACAAGAACTATTTAAGTGATCTGAACAATAGCATTGTAATTTACACTGACAAAAATATTTTCAAAATAGAACTTACATAATAATAGACCATTTATTTGAACAAATAAATTTCAAGTGGACATTTTGTACTATTAATTGAAATAGCGTTCATTATGTTTTCTCAGTCTGTTAAATGAAAGATCTTTTAATAGTTTCTAATTTTTCGGATCAATGGATGATCACAGCATCGCGTATTGTCACATCACATACATATTCAATGTATATAGAGAGCGCCAGATAATTTTTGATTCGATATAACTGCATTACACAACGTATCGCGCGTGTTAATCAATCATTGTCTAAAAACATGGAATATAGTAGTTTGATATTAAAACCGAAATATCAGAAAAAATTTCCATAAAGAATTAATATCATAACTTTTATATTGGATGAATAAACAACAAAACAATTTATAAATAAGATTAATGTCTAACTCGCTGACTGCCATGCTTGTGCATGTATTTTGCGACATATTTATTTAGGCAAAAGAATGTAATTAGTGTATATTGAGTATCGACGATTTCAATTTTGCCCCCAACTAATTAAGCGATTTTATAATAGAAACAAAAGTAGGCTTTATACATACATTGCATAGAATGGCAGTGAACGCGTCAAAATACTTTAAAACTTTTAAAAGAGATCTTTGGTTCTCTCTTCCTTTTTTTTTCTTCCCGTAGCCATACGTTATATCTGTTTTAGCAAGTTCTCTATCCAGTTACGAAATGGAAATAACAAAGTTTAAACAAACGTTCCATCCTACAATTAATAAATATCCTTATATAAGATTCCAATTTCTTTGTTTTATCATACATATATTAAATGGAACTAAGAATCCAAGTTCCCTTAAATGCAAGTTTCAAATACGGCCTTACAACAATAGGATCGGCATGTGAACATTGGTTAGACTGGAAATATCACGATCACGATTGCTATTTTTACAGTGCCAAAAATTTCAAAAATAGGAAAAATGTAAAAATATAAAGATATAAAACAAAATAATTCATTACATTTATTATCAAATTTATTATCTAATATCTATGAAATTGTTACTTTCATTGTATTATTTTTTTCTTAAGAAAATCATTAAAATAAAATTCACACTCGGAGATTTATTTTTAAAAATCGAAGAAATTAATATAAAAAAATAATACAATATATAAAACAAAAAGTCATTGAAGTTTAAACTGATTCACCGAAGATCATTTTTGTCTATCGGAGTCTTCGGCCAAAAACTCGGAGAGGTAGCAATCGTAGTCACAATCTGTGTAATCGTACTACATTCTAAGCAATTCCAAAAACAATGTGTACGGTGTTCCACACACATCCTTTCCATTTTCTTTTAATGTCTCCTAATAGGTTTTTATATTATTATATTATTATGTAATCTTTTAGGTTAAGTTTTTTTGTCATTTCTTACGATGCTTAAATGTTAAGTTGAGAAAATAATTTTTTTTCGTTTATATAACAAGCAAAATGTTCAACTCGTTTCTTCATAAATATTCAATTTTCCATAAGTCTTTTTTATGGGGCTCAATGGTTCCAGCAGAAACACTTAATTTGCATGTAAGTTTTATTTTACTTTTTTTTTTTTCTATTTTAAGTTCGTCCTTTCTCTCGTTAGCGCATGTGAAATGCATGACTCACTATTTACTCGAAAGAAAGTACTTTTTCACTGGGTATAGAACCATTGTACGTAATTGTTATTTATTGTATTATGTACAATGCTGAGCATGTTGCAATGCTAAGAGCATCCATGAAATATCATCAGCTAGAAAGCACAAAGAATATTGTAATGTCTTCAGAATGTTTTATAGTGCGCTGAATGTTTCTATGTTTCTTGCTTTGGTTTCTTTCAATTTCTCAACATTACGCGTACGAGAATGCCGCAGGTTGCAATTGACAACTCTTTCTTCATTCAACCTTTGTTCATTTTGTGTTTCTTTCTTCATGTTATTAAGCGAGGACTGTGCAAACCTTCTACCTGAGTATCAATTTGAGGACAATGTTGTGTATCAGGCGGTCCCCAATCGTGCAAATTTCCACTGTTAGCTAATCTGTGCGTAAGTCGATGTGCTATTGAGAAACCTCCGCTACCTTCCAACTGCGTTAGAACTATGATGACTTGTCTGAAATCAAAGTATTAATGTAAAAATTTGTCCTATTAAACCGCAACAAAGTATAATTATTTTACCTGTGAAGGGGAGGAACACTATCGGCAGTTCTGAGTTGTCCTCTCGTGGACACGACGTTATAGCTTTCATGGCAGTCGCATTTTACGTGAATCCACTTATTTACGTGACGATTTTCGACCATTACTACTAAACCGGCCCACCCTTTAGTTAAGTAATAAGCGGTCATGCCTTCTCTACCCTGTAAAAAATTCATACATGATATAAATTTTAGAATTGCTTTATGCATTTAAGATACAATAGCTTACTTCATGTCGTTGTCCTTTAGCTAATGTTAGACTTATGATAGCATCAGCTAAGACAAAAGCCGGTGGTGATATCTGCTCGACGAGAAGTCTCTTTGAGCTATGAATGGCGAGAACATATTCCGGGTAGCTAGATGTATCTTCCATTCCGGTGTGCCAGTGATTAAAGGCTAGACATACGACGATATATAGATCTCTCTCCAACATTTTATGACAGCCGACAAAACCGCGTACTTGTCGCTTGCTATGTTCTACTAATCTACCGACTTCTGGAGCAGCCGGAGATCTTGTACGAAATACCACCACGCATAAATCCAGTTGAGAACGTTGCGATTTTTCCGAATTTCTAAGGAATTAGATATTTATTAATATAATCATATGATATATTCGCGCATAATTTAATTGTCTCACCTTTGGCCTTCTTGGAATAATGTAAATTCTGTTTCGGTGGGTTCTAATACTGTCAGAAGAACACACGACAAATGTCTGAGAGACGACAACGGAGGAAGAGTGCCGCGCAATCTCACTTCGCTCCATCCGACTCTAGTCTTGCAAATGTCAATACAATCGAAATATTTTAAAACATCGTCGAAAGATATCCAAAACACGCCATCTGAAGCACCATGCGGCATAAGCATCTCTCGTAATTGCGGAGTCCATATAGGGCTGTCATCCGACCAATCCCCTTTCCAACTATAATGACCCCAAGGATTGCGTAATCGTAATAACCGAATTCCCTGCACAACAATCACGTGACATAAATACCTGTTTCATTAGGTTATGCATGTCATTCGTGATACTTACCTGTACATCACGAACATCAAGGACAGAATATGCATGTCTGAAAGACATTTTTTCAATTAGAAGCAATCAATAAAAATAAAATCGACAAAACAGAAAATATAAGAAACAAAATCAAACTTAGACATATATAATTAAGTATTCAATTTACCTTGGCCTTAAACCTTTGCGCTGATATTCCTCTTCGTCAACCTTCATATTACCGCCTCCACAGCTAGCACCCATTAAAAACATAGCTTGCCTCGAGGACAAAAGTTGTGCCCATATTAGGTCCCTATCGAGTTCGTCTTCGCTTGGCAATGCTGAAGGTTGTAAAGGCACGCTCTCACACGGGGCACCAGTTAATGTCGCTAGACCTTCTATAGCACGGCCGGATACTAAGGCCTCGTAACAGCCATGTATTTTAGCAACTGCTTTCTCAATTAGCGGCACCCAAAGTTGTTTTCTTTTTGCCTTCAATGTAAGATGCAATTCATGATATTTTATTATAATAGAAGAAAAAAATACATTTGAATATATATATATATATATAAATAGCATATATTTATGTAGCAAATAAATATATACCTGAGAGTACACTAAATGACCTCTCTTATCACAGGGTAATAGATCATCGACGAGTACCGTCGTCCATTTTCCATCTTTACACAGTCTAACTTGGTAAGCACCTTCGGGACATGTTTCTTTCATGACCAAAACTCTTCTTACGAGTTCATCGCTCTCGGCCAAAACAGCCAATGCCGATAGCAACCAACAATTTCCTAATACACCTTGCGAGATATCAGAAGGTAGGGGTGTCCTAAAGACAGCCCAAGGCAGTTTAGAATCAACACTCGAATCCACATTAATTTGGTGTGGCCTTCTCCACTGAACGACGTGATTATCTTTCGTATCCGCGGGATTATAGTACAGGGATTTCGGAGCAGGCGGAAACGAATCATCGACGAACGGCTCATTTGTCTATAAGATAAACGTAAAAAGTGTTAAGTCTCATTAAAAATTTAGCATTCTATGATATGGTCTAAATTTATGCTATTACCTCTTTGCAATATCGTACAATGCGTTCCCATTTTTCCAGTGCTTCTCTTTCCTCCAATTGTCTAAGATTTTCCATCACCACGCTCTCTTGCCGTTGGATCCTAAGAGTATTAGTGCCCGACTCGAGAAGTCTAGGTATCCCTCTATCTCCAGACGCTTGGGACAATGACTTCGAGCTTTGGCACATTTCACAGATAACAGTCGTGCTCTTGTTCTCATATGTGCACAGTTTACATTGCCACTAGACATATAAAAAAAGAAAATTTAAATAAAGAAATGAAAATAGTAATGATTACTTCATTGTACAATGGCAAAATAAAAGATAAAAGCAAAGCAATTAAAAATTAAAAGAATAAATCAATCAAGAATTATTATGCTTGTATGTTGAATATTTTTGAAAATCTTACGAGAAAGGCAAGTACTAACTTGAATGTGTGATGGATCTCTGGTCCTCGAGTGCCTTTTATCACCCGCTGACGAACCGTTTCTTCTTACAGAATTTCTATGTCTCGGGGTAACCGCTTTGGAATTCGTCGGGGTTGAACAGAGTCTCGGACTTGGGCTCCGTTGGCCAAGAGCTCTATTGTCTTTCGGGATCTCCAGGAAGTCCGCTAACGTTTTACAGGCGTTGCAGTTTTGCGCCGACAACGGATTTCTCAATGTGCATGACGGGCATACCCAGCTTTCGCCTTTACGCAGAGTGGCATCTTCCAGATGCATGATGCTTTTCAGTTTTGAACCGCAGCAAGCTTCGCATGTCGTTCTCGACGCAGCGTTCAATAGAGTACACTTTTTGCATGTCCATACTGGTGAAGGCGGATCGATCTGATCGTCCAGATCAGATTCTGCCGTAGCTAAAGTGACGGCTTTCGATGGTATATATCTAACGCTGTCTCTCGATACTACGATCGGGGATTGTGCGTGCGATGGATAGCTACTCGTATCCTTCGTGACGGTTATCAAACTAGGTTGCGTTAATGAGGGCGGCGATCTGGACGAACCGCAAATATCGCAACCGCTGGACCATAACGGGTTATATGCGTAAGAACACTTTCTGCAGGTCCACATGCGCTTCAATGAACTCACATTCGACACCTCGCCCACCGGACTGGTCGCCTCGCTGTGTGCCTTCGTCGGCATCAAACCTAACTTACTGCTTTGTTCTTTGGCAATGGCGGTGGTATGTCGGGATCTGTGATCCCAATGTAGGAATACTTTGGTCTCGAGTTGAATCCAATGGAATGCGGCGGCACCGCGGGCGGTTCCTCGTCATTTAAACTCCTACGATTAACAGTCTTCTTCTGCGTCACATTCGCGACCGAATCAGCATCGGAGAAGGACCTTCTGTAAGATAGAGGCCCGGCGGACGATAACGCGCGCGATACCCAGGCCGGCACGCTGATAACTACTCCGCTGCAGGGCGCAGAGCTTCTAGGAGCGTCGCATGCCTCGCATTGCTCTAAACCGGGCGCATTGTTCAGCGTGCAATTGTCGCAGCTCCATAAGCCATCGTCCTGGCGCGCTTCTGGTACCACTAGGCTCGTGGGTCGTTGCACCACATGTTCTGACAATTTTTGAACAACAGAACCATTCGATAGCGAACGACTGACTTTGGACTTGACCCGTTCATACATAGAAGGACTGTGTCGTTTTGGAGAACGTTGAGAGGTATCGGTATTATCGGTGAACGGAAGCGTAGTGGACTCCATTGTTCCAATTGACGGCAAAATCCAGTCTTTGTGCCCTCTTCCTCTATCACTTCGGCTTATACTCGTCAACTGTGCCATACCTGTAAAATTTTTTAAATAACGATTTTCAATGATCTAAAATGTCCTTACAATTTCCTTACAATAATGTTTTTACAATAATGATCAATTCTGCACGTCACTTACCTGTACTAATAATTGTATCATTGTTACCACTCTTGTTTGCATCTCCATCTAGGACGTTGGCCAAAAATCCAGACGTAATCTTAAAACGATTCTCTTTATGTAGATTAATCTTTTTACTTTTGCGCGCACCAATTTGCTTTCCGTCGTTCTGAGCTATCGACGCACTGGCATCGCAAGCCGCGCAAATCAATGAGCTGCAATTATTGTCCAATAAACATCGAATGCAAGTCCACTGTATGACTAAAGAAGGTAAGGATGAAAAACGCTTCAACGGTTTCCTGTCAGTTGAGTTACCGCACCACGAACCACAATGTGAATTCTTCCTAACGTCGGCTGCAGACAAGTGTCTCTCAAAACTGCAAGTTTACAGGTATATATACTCTAAGTACAATTTTTAATCATGATAAAGATAAAACTTATATTCCAGGAATAAGTGTTTTTAAAAAACAATTGTACTTTGTAGTCGAAAAATAAAACAATTGCTATCAATGTTTATCAGCAAACTATAATAAAAAAAACAACATTCTATCAAACATCAAACATCAATTTAAAAATCTATAAATTTACAACAATTTTACACTTGAGGTTCTCTATTCAACATAGACATGCTCAATGTAAATTAACAGTAGGGAATTCTTATTTATAATTAAATATTAATTTATAAAAACAATATAAACATAAGCTAAAGAAATTAGATATCATGTTTCATGATAAAAGTTTCACACAGGTATCTCCAAACAAAGTCATAAGTACCCATATAGAGCGATAAGATATCTTCAAAGCGCACGCAAAACACATGAGGAAGGGAGCCAAGAGAACGAGGAGAAGGGATGAAATCACGATGCTCACCCTTGAACAGCGGCACATCGGAACTCGTCGTGCTGATCGACGAATAGAGTCTCCGTCGGGTTGCGCGGCAATTTGTCCGTCCTCGGCGGCGGCGTCGGCGGCGTCGATTCCCCGGAGGAGATCTCTTCCCGTGTGGGACACTCACCGTCTTCGCGCCTTATTGCTGAGCGTCGCGCGCGATCCTCCGCGTGCGCTGCGACCGCCGCTTTTCCGCCTCCCTCCTGATGTGCGCTATGCTCCGCGGCTACGATCGTGGCACGATCCTGCCTGCGATCGAGGTTGGCCCTCTCGTCGCTCCTGAGCCGCGTTAGCCCGCACCTGGCGCATCTCGCGCTCTCCGTCGGATTTATCAGGGCGCACTCCGAGCAATGCCACTGCAGCACCGACGCGATCGAGCCCATTCTCCACGCGTAGTCATGGCTCCCCCGCTGCGCCTCTCTATATCACCACTGTCGCGACCACGGACACGACGGCGTCGACGGCGACGTCGATGGTGACAGCGACGGCGATAACGGCAACGTCGGCGGCGGCGACGACGGCGGCGGCAGCGGCAGCAGCCAGCACTCCACGTATAACGGCGGGTGCGGCGCGACGTCGACGACCTTCGTCGACGGCCCTCGTCCGCAACCTCGACTCACGCTGCTGGCGAACACCCGCGCGAAACTCTCTCCTCTTCCCGTCGCTCGCTCCGTCGCCGCACGCTGCACGCGGGAGGGACGCCGCGACGCGACGCCGCGCGACGCGACGTGACGTGACGTGACGTGATGTGATGTGACGCGACGCGACGCGACGCAAACGTGACGTGACGCGAGGCCAGACGCGACGCGTCCGCCGCGGCGGGTGAACGACGGCGATCAGCGGTGCCGCGGAATCCGTTCTCCTCGTCGTCGTCGTCGCGAGGATGTCGCCGTCGTCGGTCGCGACAGGAGCCCGCCGTTCTTTGTCATATGTTCCACGACGGCCATCTTTCCCGTTGGATCCCCCATCCCGCGGACCCTCTCATCCCCTCTTCCGATCGCTGCGAACGCAGGAACGACGCGAGGTTGTCCTGAACGAAAGACTTCCCGAAAATTACAATTGTATTATTGTCTTGATATTGCGTATCTTAATATTGCAAATTTCAAGTTGACAAATTCTAACTGTTCATGAATGATGATTATATGATTATATTATATTATATTTGTAATACTATTGAAGAGTTGTTTTGAACTTTGTTATTACTTCATATGATTAAATAAAAACAGAAAACAATAGGCCCCTATTTTTTTTCACGGTTCACAGGTTTGTTTTTCATAGCTGAACTACATGTATACATTTCATGTACTTAAAATGAAATAGATATATATGTATTTAAAGTTTGGCAAAAGCGGGATAGAAAGTTTTAATAGTCCAGTGACAAAAACAGACATCATATTTCTGTTTTTTTTCCGTAGTGAAGGAAAAAAGAAAAAGTAAATCGTGAAATTTAACTAAAAAAACAAAATTATGACAATAATAAATAATAATAAATAATCATATGCCATTTTGATTATGTGTTTTTAAATCTATTTTTAATCTGTTTAAATACATTTCTATGTAAATGTTTTTTATTATGAAATTTTGTGGCGTACGTTACTGAACATTTTAATTGTTACGCATACTAACACATCAATGAAAGAAAGAGTGAAAGATGTTCTACTCCTCTTATAGCAACCAAGGTGCTGAGTTTACCAAGTCCCTGTGGCGCAGAGGATAGCGCGTTGGACTTCTAATCCAAAGGTCGTGGGTTCGATCCCCACCAGGGATGCAAGACAATCGGAAGCCGCTTGTCACAATTTTTTTTTAATTAAAGTTGTTATCACAGTTGTAGAAACAATTGAAAATTAGTGGCAGAAACATTTTATTGTATGTTATTTTACAATTTTTTTATGAAGTTTTGTAATTCAACTATAATATTATTGTTCTGATTCTGAAATGAAATCTTTGAAAAACAGTTCGTGTGATTGAATATTTTATTCTTTCTTAAATTTCTTAAACATTATGACGTCATATGTCTCTTAAACGTCACTCTATAAATAAAGAATAAAGAAACTAAAAATCTATAAGCCTACTATAAACAGAAGATACTTTTTTTACCTAAAGTGTCAATAAAAATTTATCGTCGTTGCGAAATTACGTCACACTGTAATCTTGAATTAAGTTCAATTTTAACTTGCGTAAATTTTTATCAAAGAAGGATCGAGTATTGTTTGCGTAACGTCTATAAATATTATATTCACATAATTAGTTTTTAAATTAAAATATATATCTCCATATTAAATGTAAATCGAGTTGGACATACGTTCTTGTTTTCCGAAAATGTTACATATAATGTTATATATAATATGTTATACATAAAGGTTATATATAATATATATATGAAATATTATATATTATCATATTATTATATTGTAAAATATTTCAATAAGCTTATTATTTCTTCAATAAGCTTATTGAAGAAATAATATAGGATTATTTAAAATATTCGGATAATATTTAGCGAGATGTTAATATATTCGTCGTACTTAATTGTCCATAAATACTCGATACCTCATTACAGGATGACACATGAAACTCTCCGCTTTCTGGGCCTATCCAGATTTGTTCCTCCAAGAAACTCACGAGCATCCCCTTTTGGTTACCAAGAGAGACAGCACCCTGTCGGTTTATTTACGGAAACATCTCTTCTTTGCCTCTTACTGAGAGGCGCCTTACTTTGATTGCACCAGCTCCTAACAGTGTTTCAGTTGTTCGATTTCTTGAAGCGAAAATAATTTTGGAGCAAAGGAGGTCTTCGAGCGTAAAGAGAGCAGAAAGCAAAGTAGATAAAAAGGGATTAATTACAAAGAGACGCTATGTCTCTGCGTTTGCAATCAAAACTTTTATTTCAAGCAACAAAAATTTTATGTTATTATATTTTATACTCTCTTGTCCCCGATGGATTTTCAATAATTCGTGGTGTATTTGTAATTGAATAAAACGGCAAACTTATTGTTAGTTACATTCCAATTTTATTATTGGAACAAAATAATGAAATCGAGATAAATCTGTTTGCGACCATTAAAAACAAAATGTTATTTATTGCGTTACGCATATTGCGTAAAAAACCTATTTTGTTATCGATACTTGTATACGTAAATGGCGACATTGTAAAATTATATATTTTAAACGATATATTTATCTTGTGCGTCAAGACATGCTCAAGGTAACAATCACATTTCCATTATTATTGCGAGTAACAGTTTTTGCCAAATAACGATGACGAAACTAGAATTTTCCGTTCCAACGGTACCAACGTTTTCATTATCGTTCGCCAAGCAAGAAACAACGTTCAAACTTTCCGTTTTGTCATGTTACCTCCATTCGAGCGCGTGGGATCGACCGTGCAACGATAGCATGTTCCTGACTTTTCATCTTCTGCCCGAAATGATTTCTCGGACTTTCAAATCACGAACACGATCGACCTCGCACGTTTCGTTCGCCGTAACGCTCTTTGGAATGAAGCCAGTACGATTTACTGCCAGACAGCCAGTCGCCGTGTCCGCGCGGCTCTTCATCGTAATCATAAAACGGCTTCATAAATAATTACGTTGTTCTTCCACCCTCATTTGCGGGAACGACGGACACGGGCTCTTAATTAGCGGCGATTACTGCACACGCAATAGAGCTGCGTTCTACAACTCCCTACGTGGCTATCGAGTGTCGTTATATAAATTGCAATTTGTTGCTAACGGCAAAACTGCGTCTTTAATTATAAAGAGCTTGATGCATATATTTGAACAGTCAATTACATAATTGTAGATTATTTATTTAAATTCTATAAAAATTCAAAATTTTTTGGTGCTAACTTTGCCTCTTACATTATTTTCAATGCTTTAAATGCAGAAGTAAAAGATCTGTTTATATTAGTTCAATTTTTCTTGTATTGACATTTTTATCTGCTGCAAATTTTTATTTCAAAGTTTATTAATTTTTCTTAATAATGATGATAGGAAATAGTAACAACTGCAAGAAAGCCTTCTAGAAAATTTTGAAATCTTGGCAATTGACTATTGCCCCATTGATTTACTCTGGCAATGAGTCAATTATCCATTTAACGCTATTCATATTTAAACTCGTATTTTAAAATTTAGGTCAACTTGAGAATTATGTCAGCTTGAAATATTTAATTTAATTATAAATGAAATAATTAAAGTCAATGATTAAATAAATTATTTTTTCAAAAATCCCTGTTAAAATTAAATTTAACGTTTACCTATAAATATAAATTTATCTATATTTTCTTATTTAAAAAAAAATAAAACTTCTACACGTGCTTCTCATTATATATATAACAATCTATCTGGGCAATCTATTTTTTAGAGAGTGTAGATTCTTACTTATAATAAAATACGATAATAAAATAATATTGATCGATACTACATTTTTTTTAGTCTTAGCTGGATACTGTAGCTCAATGATGTTTTATTTCTCTGTGATCTTCAAGACATAACTCCATCGATAGGTCCATAATTTTATTTTTCTTTTCCTTGAAAAGCTTGTTTTATAATTTCATTTCCTAAAAGTTATTTAATATACATTTATTAATATGTATCAAATATCTCATATATATGATCAAATAATATAAATTTATAATTTTATCTTAACGATATTATAATTATAGATGTATATAATTTCATTATGTATTTTAAGTTTATTGAAATTTGTTATTTCATTTTGAATAAACAGCACTAGAATCACGATGATGTAAATAATGGAAAATTTTCCGTAAAGTGATATCATAAATAAATCCGTTACATCTGTTTTCGTATCGTGAAGATTGTGTTGAGTGTGTGCTAATCTTTAAAATAAAAAATATATGCAAGGAATATAGCTTTTATATATCCGATAAAATTTATCTAATCAATCATTCAAACAATCGCTTGTATATTATTGTTAAATAGAGTGCACATCAATTATTATATAAAACATTTATTGAAAAATTAGCTTACAAGTGTAATATTTATCGTTATTATTATCGAATATTAACATCTTTGATATGGCATGACTCACTGTAATTAGCCGATAGAATATTGAGGAAGTCTAATATAACTCACGGAAAAAAAGTTACACACTTATCGCGTGGAAATGCCATTCTGCCACATTACGTCATTTATTTTCCACAACATTAACTGATGCGTGTCTAATAACGGTTAACTCTATGACGCAGCTTCTTCACGCGTCGACAGATTTTTCTTCGCTTCACTTTGAAGTAAACAGCTTGCTGCGAAGAAAATGCTACGTTTAATGTCGCGATTATTTATAAAAAACTTTCTTTCGGGATCGATAACATATTTTGCCGGAGGAAAAGCATCTTTTATAGTTTCCGTATTACGAATCACGTACTTCAAGACTTGTTTTACATTAATAAAGAATACACACACAATTAAAAAAAAATAATAGCAATAAAAAATTTTATATAGATCTGTTTTATTATGAATAAATTCTTAAAATTTTGTTATTAAAC